ACCTGGACTCTAACACTTGTCAGCTCTGGTGACTGGACAAGTCATTTCATGTGCCTCAGTTTCCTCTCCAGTACAAGGAGCAGGGTAACAGCCCCCTTGGAGGGCCGAGGTACTGAGATAACACAAGTCACATAGTAGGTGCCCAAGAAATGGCAGCCAGCACCTCCCAGCCAGCCTGTCTTGTGGTTTCTGTGGGCTGTTTGGGGGGTGGGAGCTGGATGCGGTTATCTCAGAAAGCAGAGGAGGGGGACTTGAAAAGGTTTCAACCTCCAGATCCCGAAGAGGCTCACAGCCTGAAGGGTGAGAGGCTCTCCTGATCCTTCCCTTTGCCTCACTAGCCAGAGAATGATTCGAGGACACTGGGCAAGGGGGGTGGGTAGAGCAGAGGGCAGGGACAGAAGGCCCCTTTCCCCTTCTGAGGCACAGCTTTCTTGGAAAGCCATTTCTCTGACAAGCCCAGGAGGGGGCCCCTGCCATGGTCTGATTCCAGCAAAGCCAGGGGGAGCGGGGGCTCTTCCCACCCATCTCCCCCAAAAGGTCTGCCTGGTCAGGAGTCAGCATGGTGGCCAAGAGCCCAGGCCCAGATCCATTGCACCCTGGCACCAATCCCAGTGTTGCTACTCGTATGCGAGGTGACCTGGGTCCCCAGCTTCCTCATCTGTAAAAGGGGAATCCATTAATCCATTGAATCACCAGGTCCACACCATGTACCTACAACAGCCAGGCAGAGTGCTAAGCATTTAGCTCACATTATGCCCACATGCATGCAGCAGTAAGGAGCTATTGCTAGGTAGGTATGATTGAGCCGAAATTGGAACCTAGAGCTGTTTTCAGTGAGTAAGCTCTGTGCAGTTTAGGGTCTGGGGGTTTGGGACTGAAGAACTGGTCGGATTGCGGGGGAGGAACTGCAGGAGGACATGTGCAGTCTGGGAGCTCAGAGGGTCTGGAGCACTCTGGCCCCCATGTTATGCTCTTTGCTGTGTGTCTGGACCCCAGGGATGCTCTGGTCGGTCACAGGCTGCCCTGGTCTCACTGTACCTCGTCGCCATCCTCTTCTATCGGAAGCCACAGTCCCTCTGCCTAGCAGACCTTCAGGCTGCCAGCGGGAACCCACTGAGGCCATCCCAGGTGACATGGAGTCAGGGAGTCTTGGGGGCAGTGAGCAAAGCCATTGAGAAGGGCACCTGCTGCCAGCACTTGCAGCTTGGTCTCAGCTTCCTGCTCACTGGTTGGGTGACCTTGAGCCAATTCACTGCCCTTCTCTGAGCCTCCCTCTCCTCCTCCGTGGAGTGGGGGCAGTAACAGGATTTGCCCTATAGGTTTTACGGGTGATGGGGAAGATGGCATGAGGGTTCATTGCTAATGGAAGAGGGGCTGGACTGGGCAGCAGGAATGGCTGCCAGGCCCAGCTCTACCACTGCTGGCTGTGTGGGTTTGGGCAAGTCACTTAACCTCTCTTAATCTCCCAGCTTGGCTGGGCATGGTGGCTCACGCCTGTAATCCTAGCATTTTGCGAGGCCGAGGCAGGTGGATCACCTGAGGTCAGGAGTTCAAGACCAGCCTGGCCAACATCGTGAAACACTGTCTATACTAAAAATACAAAAATTAACCTGTCGTGGTGGCACATGTCTGTAATCCCAGCTACTCAGGAGGCCGAAGCAGGAGAATCACTTGAACCTGGGAATCGGAGGTTGCAGTGAGCCGAGATTGTGCCACTTCACTCTAGCCTGGGCGAAAGAGCAAAACTCCATCTCAAAAAAATTAATTAATTAAAAACAAAACAAAACAGAAAAAAGTCCCGTAGCTCATTCAAAGTCTATCTTACCAGGCTTAGGAGCAGGGGTGGTTCCAGGGGCCAACAAGTTCTAGCAGTGAATGGAAGCGTGGGAGCAGAGGGAAGGGGCAGAGCCGACTTGGCTCCAACTCCTGCTGGAGTGGGGGATGCAAAGCCATTGTCCCCAGATCTTCTAACTTTCAAAGGGAAGCTGGAAATCCTTTTTAAAACAATTTTTAGTGGGAAATCCCCCCCACTCCAGGCTTTATTTTTGAGGCACAGTCTCACTATGTTGTCCAGGCTGGTTTTGAACTCCTGGGCTCAAGAGATTCTCCCACATCAGCCTCCCCAGCAGCTGGGACTGCAGGTTCAACCCACTACACCCAGCTAAATTTTTCAGTTTTAAAATGTTGACAACTCACCTAAATGTAAGGCAAATAAAACACATCTGCAGGCTGGCAGTGCTGCCCACACTGCCCAGACTAGGAGACAAGGCGCCTGGGTGGACCTTCACCAGGCCGCTAACCACAGCAACCGATATATGCCAAGCCTGATTACACTTAACTTCTCATTCCACCCTGCTGGCAGCCTCACTTCTGCTTTACAGATGGGGAACTGAGGTTCTAAGAGAGGAAGAAAATTGCCCAAGGCCACGGCAGCTAGCCAGGGGCAGATCTGGGATTCAGAGCCGAGTGCAGCTGACTACAAACCCCGTGCTCAGGCAGAGCCCCTCTAGGAGCCTCGACATCTCCCCCAGTTCTTTTCTCCCTCCACTCAGGCAGGTAAGCTCTGCCTTCCCAGGGAACCAGAACGGAACTGCCTGGTGGCCATAGGTAGTGGTTTACGCCTGTAATCCCAGCACTTTGGGAGACCAAGGCAGGAGGATCACCAGGTCAGGAGTTAAAGATCAGTCTGGCCAACATGGCAAAACCACATCTCTACCAAAATACAAAAATTAGCCGGTGTGGTGGCCCACGCCTGTCGTCTCAGCTACTTGGGAAGCTGAGGCAGGAGAATCGCTTGAACCCGGGAGGCAGCTGCAGTGAGCCGAGACTGCATCACTGCACTCCAGCCTGGTTGATGGAGTGAGACTGTCTCAAAAAAATAAAGGAACTTTTGTCTGGGGTGTGCCTGGCAGTCATTCACACCCGCACTGAAATTTCAGCTCCCTGGGAAAAGATGTCGTGTTAAAGAGAGAGGAAAGAACAGACAGTATGGGAGTCTGGGGTCTGAGCTGGACCAGCCATGGAGGGGATGGGCCCCCTGGCAGCCAGAGGCCTGATGCAGTTTGAGGTTTTGCCTGTGCCCGCCTATTGTGCTGTGGGGTATACCTTGCCACGCATACCTTGCTGGCGTGCTGTTGGCATTGGCTGTCCAGCTTGGCCTCACTCTTGCAAAGTCAGCTTGTGCCAGGTAAGCAGGAAAAAACCGATGGCTTATCTGATTCCCGGCGAGGCAGAAGCAGGCTGGGAAGTGCGTGTGTGCACGTTAGCGTGTGTTTCAGTGTATGCAGACCAGCTTCCGCCAGGAGCTAGAGCCACTTTGGACGGGTACATGGTGACCCATTTGACCTGCAGATTCTTAGGAAACTTTTTATGGAGCCAGACAGCCTGGGTTGAACAGGTTATTAGCTGTGTGGCCTGGGGCAAATTGCACCCTGGGGCTCTCACGAGCAAACCAGAGATAATAATTGTACCTACCTCATGGGGCTGTTAGGAGGATTAAATGAGGTCGGATTTATGCAAAGTGCTTAGGACTGCACTTGCTGTATGGAAATGCTCGGTAAGATTGCCTATTCCTATCATGATCTCCAGCCCAGGCCCAGGAATGAGCTTTCACTCTAGTCAGATGGGCAAAGCCCTTCCTGGCTTAGCACCGCCCTTCCATCACCATAACAACGCACGGCTCCTTTCGGGAGTGGGGGCAGCATCGCTGGGAGCCAGGAGCTGGCTGTGCACCTCACCTGACCTGCTTCTCGAGGCTCCTGGGCACCCCCAGGACTTATGGGGGTGGACTAGGACTTATGGCACCCCCAAATGTACTGGATAACCCTGATGGGAGCATAGCACCCCAGCTTCTTGACTCCAAAGCCTCAGACTGGGGAGAACCCTGGCCTTCCTGAAAACATCGAGGGCCTTAGCTTTACCCTCTGATTTGACCCCAGTCCCAAAGGGGTCTACAAGATGCTCCCAGGGGTTGGGAACTGGTAGGTCACACTGCCTGAGGACATTTTTTTTTTTTTTTTT